AATCGGAACCGACTGGATGGCAACGGGTTTGGTTTTTTGGTTTTTATGCATGATATAATCCTATTTGAGTAAAGAGAAAACAATGGCCCCCATATATGTATGTATATATGTGTATATACATAAAACATTTGGAAAACAAGTTTGCCACACCGGTGTCAGCGCCTATCTCAGCAGGTAGGACTATGGAGGAGAACTTTCACTTTTCTGCTTTTATAGTTTTATACATTTTGAATAGTATAGAACAGTATTATTTATTTTTAACAGATTTTTGTATTGAAGTGTAACGTATATACAGAAAAGTGCACAAATCAAAAGTGTGCAGGTTGATGAATATCACAAACTGAACAGCCCTGTGTAACCAACACCCAAACCACGACAGAACACTACTGGGAGCCCACAAGGCCTGCCCTGGGCCCTGCTCTAAATCCTGATCTGGGTTCCCACTATTTTGACTTCTAACATCATAGACTGGTTTTACCGGGTTCTAAAGTTGATGTAAATGGAATTATACAGCAGGTCCTCTTTTGCACCTAGCTTCTTTCACTCAGTATCCCCCTTGTGAGATGCATGCGTATAGTTCCCTGGAGCTATAGTTTGCTCCTTCTCCTTGCTCTATGGTATTGAATTTATTTATGCTGTCTATTGTTGAAGGGCAGTTGGGTAGGTTCCAGTAGATAGTATAATGGAAAGCCTTGCTAGAAACACAACTGTATGTCTTTTGAACCTCTGTATTTTTGTTGGGTGTATACCTAGGAGTGGAATAGCAGGATCAGAAGGTGTACGTATGTTTAGAAGTATCTGCATAACTGGGTAAATACAAAGTGGTTGTACCAGTGTACACTCCTTTTAGCAGCTTATGAGCATTCCAGTTGCTCTACATCTTTGGCTACACTCTGTTTTCTGTTTCATTTTAGCCATCTGATAGGTGTTCAATGGTATTGCATTTTATTTTGCATTTCTGTTATGACTATTGATGTTGAGCATCTTTTTCATCTAGTTGATCACTGGTAATTTGGTCCTTGTCTTTTCTGAAATGCCTTTTTGCCCATTTTTCTATTGCATTATCTTTTTTAAAATTGATTTGTGGGAGTTCTTTACATATTCTGGATATGCATCCTTTTTCAGAAATATGTAGTGCAAATAGATTCTCCTATTCTGTCGGTTCTTTCCACTCTCTTACAAGCGCCTTTGTTATACAAACATTCTTCCTTCTAATGTAGTCTAATTTATCAGCTTTTCCCTGCATGTTATATCTTTACCTACTGTCCCAAGCTCCTGTAGCTGTGTGATTTTTATGATTAAAATATTTTTAAATTCTAAGACATGCCTGCATGAAAGTTAAATATTCTCATTCATCTCTTTGATTTCTGATTTTTAAAATTTTAGGCCATGGATGAATATCTATTTTATACTCCTATGTATATCAAATGGAGCCCTGGTGGTACAGTGGTTAAAAGCTATGACTGCTAACTAAAAGGTCAGCAGTTCAAATCCACCAGCTACTCCTTGGAAACCCTATGAGGCACTTCTACTCTGTCCTATAGGGTCACTGTGAGTCAGAATTGACTTGACAGCAATGGGTTTGGTTTTGTTTTTGGATGTATATCAAAAACCTAGAATAATCGCTACACAAAGCATGTACTTCTTAAATATTTGTTGAGTGAATAAATAAACATTGAGTTAGAAGAAATTTTCTGTGATTGTCCCAAATACTTGAAACACAAAATTGAACTTTGGAATATTTCCTCTGTCTGGATTTTTTTTTTTAGCAAAATTTAAATTTTAGCAAATGAGAAATGATGGGGTTTTTTCTTTTTCCACTTTTCTATTCATTTTAGTCAGAACTGTAGCTTAACACAAACATTTAATGCAAAAAATACTTTGGTATTGCTTGGCTCTGCTCCACATGTCTTTTTGTTCTTGAACTCAGGGTTAAGGTACATAAGTGAGGCTGAAGGGAAGATGAGGACATCAAGTTCAATCACATAGCTGCATTTAAAACTTCTGCCTGCATGTGGTACCTCATGTCTGCTTACATTCCTTTGGCCAGCGCAAGTCGTATGGCTGAGCCTAAAGTCAATGGGTAAGGGGGGAAAAAAATATAACCTTCTTACAGGGAAAAAGCAAAAAACCAAACCCACTGCAGTCCAGACAATTCCAACTCATAGTGACCCTATAGGACAGAGCAGAACTGTCCCATATGGTTTCCAAGGAGCAGCAGGTGGATTCGAACTGCTGACCTTTTGGTTAGCAGCCATAGTTTTGAGCAATAACGCATTTTACCACTGTGCCTCACAGTAAATTCTTTAACATCAACATTTTCTTTAAAATGCTTTATACATTCATAAAAAAGACTGATATGTTTACATTCAAATACATTCATTTGTAAATTTAGCACCTTTAAATAATTCATTACACGATTTAAGGCATATGGCTCTAAAGATAGGATTTAACTGTGTCTATAGACTTGATGGAAACCCTGGTGGTGTAGTGATTAAGAGCTATGGCTGCTGACCAAAAGGGCAGCAGTTGGAATCCACCAGACCCTCCTCAGAAACCCTATGGGGCAGTTCTACTCTGTCCTACAGGGTCGCTATGAGTTGGAATCGACTCGACAGCAATGAGCTTTTTTTTCTTTTTAGATATAGACTTGACAGCAACGGGTTTGATTTTTTTCTTATAGAAATAATGGCGCCCTGGTCGCATAGTGGTTAAGAGCTTGGCTGCTAACCAAAACGTTGCTTTGAGTCAGAATCGACGGAAACAGCAACAGGTATAACAATAATGAACTAATGCTTACAAACATGATGTTTCCGTAGGATGTGTATTTTAAATTTCCTCATAGAGTCCATACAAAAGACAATCACTGACTGCTTCTCTTGGTGATGTAAAGAGAAACATAACAAGGCTGAATTACTTGAAAAAGCTGGGGGAAAATCTATCACATATCATCAAATAAAATTGCCCTTTACCAAATCTTTTCTTCTCACAAGAAGTTTCTTTTGATCTGTGTAAAGTATTATATTTTAGTTTGGCTAAAATTGCATTTCTTTGATGGATAAGTGTTAAAAACTTGTAAGTTAAATGCCATGTTGTTGGAAAACACGTGTACTTGCATATTCATTTAGTAGCATATAATATTTTTTTTTACTCGTTTCCAAGTATAATTTGGGTAAATATACCTATAATTCTTACTCTGATTCAATTTCATTCACCAAATTCCTCTTGAGTTAAGGACAAAGAATTATATTCTCAGACTAAACAACTGTTGATTTGTTTCCTCACTCAAATCCTTGCTTTTACTCTCCTCTTTTACTGCCACGTTGATACCCCACAACACAGGCAGGAGAGATATGCTGTTTCATGTCCAGGATTAGAGCTACTTTATTAAATAGCCCAGAGCTATTTACTTTGAAAGTAATAGTTTTAATTATAGGTCAAGAAATGGTGACAGGAAGACAAGACAGAAAACAGAGCTACGTTGAACCAATAGAAGAAAAGCTTAAGAGAAGAAAAGAGTTGGTAGAAATACAATTGTTCTCTGGTCAGATTATAGACCAAGGTTTGGGTGTATATTTTGGCTAAGCTTTTACTGGAGGTTGTCTTCTTCCTTCACCTGACTTCTACCCTAATAATTTTTTCTATGTCTCCTATTTCTTTCACTAGCAGATTTTTCAAATGTATGTTCTAGCCTCTGTTCCTAGTTATCTATCTCTTCAATCCTTCTCGCCCAACAGTTTGGACTCTGGCCATTCTACTCAACTGAAAAGATTTTATGTCTAATGATTCCTAATTACCAGCTCTCTAAGCTTTTGTTGGGTTCTAATTAGTCCTGAGCTATAGAAAGTGTTTACACTGTTAACTACCCTTGCCTTCTTAAAGCGCTCTCCAACATAGGCTTCCATCTTCTAACATTAAACCGAGTGTTCTAACTTTATTATTGCCCCATGTTTTCTGTTTCTCAAGTGTGAGCATTTCTCCCAAAGTTTCTTTGATTTTCTTTCTCCGCATTTTGTCTCTCAGAGGCGTAGATTTGCAACAGGAGATTTCCAGATTGTTTTTCTTGCCATCTTCTCTCCTGAGACTTAACTCCCCGTTTCCAGATGATGGATAGACTTTTCTGCATCATTAATAGAAACTCAATAGTGCCTAAAACTGAACTGATATCCCCCAACCCCAAATTCCCTCCCTTATCTGACACTTCCATTTGTTGATAATGCCACCTTTCTCTCAGTAATTAGTGAAAAAAATTGACCATCTTGGACTCTTTTTCTCTAACGTGCCCCATACCATCACCTCACTATCTACCTGTGTCTATGCATCTCTTCTAAAATGTATAGAGTCCATCCTCAGCCACTCAGATTTAATGTCTTTCTTTTACCTATAGGATAAATTCCAAATTGGTGGCTCATCCTTTTCTGTTCACTTATTAGGGAATATGAAAGCAATAAAACTAGTATCAAGGGTTCAGGTGAGTTTGAATACCGAAGAGTGTCTTGTTGAGGCTAGCAATCCTGTTCTGTGGCGTAAGAGAGGTGTCAGATGGACCAGGCTGAGTCTAACAGCAAGAACATACATCCCAGCGAGGCAGGAGTAAGGGAATCAGAGAGTGTGAAGCACTGAGATATCAAAATGAGTAGAAAAGTGTGTTTAAAAAAGGGCCAAAAGCATAAAACATAGAAAATGAAGATGCCAAAGCTATGAAGGCCAGGACAAATTTGAGCTGTGTCTTTGGAAAGTTTGAAGCCCTGGTCCTAGGCTAGCTCTTGCTGGTATTAAAGAAACAAACTCTAAAAATACTTCTAACACAATCTCTTTTTCCATCTTTGTTGTCTACAGAAACTTCTCAAGCCATTTTTTTCTCTGGTATACTGGCTGAAATGTGGTCTTGCCTATTTTTCTAGACTCTTCTCTTATCTCCTTCCGTTCCGTGCAGCTTTCCTCGGTACTTTCCATACCTCCAAATCTTTGTAAAATTTCCCCCGAAGACCTCATATTCTCTGAAAACAATCTCATGCATCATGTTCTTTGCAAAGTCCTCTTTAATTGTATTTGGACTAAATTATATCTTGTATATATCTCCATACCACTTATCACACCCAATTTGTTTTTTGTTTGTTTGTTTGTTTCTTCTGTTAGTTGTCTTTTTACTCAACTAGAACTTAATGTCAGAGACTGGCTTGTTAGTGTTTCTTCTGAACTGTTTAGCAGAATACTCAACAAATGTTAATGTACATAAGCGTGTATTGAATAAATGACAAAATACCATGTTTTCTCGTCTCCAAGCCTTTGCTAAAACGTCTCCATTCCCTGTAGTACACCTGTCACCTCCTTTCTTCCCATCCAGACTCTCAAAATATTTACTAAGTACACCTAGACACTGTGTTAAGTACCGGAGATGGAAGGATGAATTAGACATGCTTCCTGACCTTGAAATGGCTGCAGTCTATTGAACCCAGCTTAAATTCCCTCATCTATATAGAACCTTGGGGGCAATGGTGGTTCAGTGTTAGATTTCTTGCCTTCCATGTGGGAGAGCTGGGTTTGATTCCCAGCCAACGAACATCTAGGAAGAAAGGCCTGGCAAACTACTTCTGAAAATTAGCCAACAAAAATCTCATTATCGCAATGGGGCCTTTGTGCATGGGGTCACCATGAGTGGAGGGCGGACTGGATGGCAGCTGACAACAGCAATATAGAACCTTTGGTACCCAGCCCAGTCTCAAGGGAATTTTCTCTCCTTCAAATTTTCAAAATTCTTATTGATTGTGTTAATACAGCAAATCATTATTTGTTAATTATATAATATCATATTTTAAGCTGTTATTTGATTATCATAGTTGTTCTTGAGCTGTTATATGAGTCTCATAGTATGACTTGTCTGTTCCGGCATACACAGAATAGAGATTGTGTCTCTTATACTTCTTTGTCCATTTCAATCCATTAAGTAATGTGCCCTACATGCAGGAAGAGCTCCATAGTATCTGATGACCAAGTGGGATTCCAGGTAGAATGGAGGTGGAGCCTTGTGGTGGGAGTGATAAGGCATTTATAGGACTCTTGCAAGTTGCACCTCCTTCCTGAGCTGGGCAGGGTTTGATGAGACAAAAGCATTGGATGTTTAGGGCAGTGGTGGCAGGTAGTTGCAAGGGTCATTGGGGACAGAGATTCTGCAGGCTGTAAACCAGTCGATTATAGGATGGCATTCCAGGAAATTAGTTCTCCGGGCTACTTCATGGCGGATCTTTCCAGTTTTCAGCACCTATTACTGAATTTAGTCTTTAAATCTCATAAATTTTTACACAACGCCCCCTGTATTTTCTCACTCATGTCGTGTGACTCTGATAATATTTCCATATCGATACCCAACTTTGGGTTGACAACAGAAATTTTTATGTTTATGAGTTTTTTTTTAAATTTTCTTTAGGTGAAATTTTACAGAGCAAATTAGTTTCTCGTTAAACAATTAATACACATGTTTTGTTTGTGACAAAACACGATCACGAGTTTTGCAAAAGTTTAAACTCCACAACAGTGCAGGCTGCAGTTTCTAAGTACAGGTGGGTATTCCTAAGGGGATATAGTTGAAGCCAAATGGCTGGGTTCACTCCAGTACTTTGCTGTATGTAATTCTCTGACTGTACTCACTACATCATAAATAATAATGAAAGTAAATGTACATTTATCAGGAAGAATCAACAAACGCCGGCACTGATTTGCTGATCACATTTGTCTTCCCAGGCATTAAGGCCAGCTTCCGAACAACGGTGCCTGAAGGTTTGATTGTCTTTGCAGCATCTCCTGACAATCAAGAAGAGTATTTTGCACTGCAGCTGAAGAATGGGCGTCCTTATTTTCTTTTTGATCCTCAGGTAAATAAATAATCGTAAGAGTTGTTACTTTTGAGAGTTTACTAGGTGCCAGGTATGCAGGTAAGTGCGTATGTTTTCACATTGAATCGTACCACAAACTATGAGGTAAGTGCTATAATTATCCCCCTTATACCAGTGAAAAAATGAAACTTACAAAAGTAAAGTGACTTACCTACAGCTAAAATAGCAAAGCTAACTTTCAAACCCACATAGTCTGACTCTATGATTTACATGCCTAACAATTAATTCCTTACCTTATAATGAAGATCAAAACTTTTCAATAAATTTGAGTAGATTTTTTTTTCTTGAGTGCAAAAATTATGTCTCTCTTTATTCATTATTCATTTATTCATTCATGTTTTCAGCAATTATGTAAGTGCGTATCAGGTACATTGTTTTGGGTACTGCAGACTACAATAGTTTTAAAGAAATATACGACTGTGCTTTTATGAAAATAACAACCTGTAAAGGATACAGAAAAAAAAAATTAGACACTTGTGAATGTTGTGAAAGAGAAATACAGGATGGTCTGTGTTATGGGAGCATAAAATAAAAGTTCTTTCTTGTCTGAGTTGTCAAGCTTTTCTGAAAGTTTGATATTTAACTGAGATGCAAAACAATGAGTTAAAGTTGAGTAGGCCAAAGTGTGTGTCTATATATGAGGGCATGTGTTTGGAGTGGAGGCAGGACAAGGGTAGTGTTGATGGGATATGAGAGAAGGTGCTGGGAATAAAGTTTCCAAGTAGAGTAAACAGTAAGCGTTAAGTTCTGAAGGCAGACAAGAGCATGGCATGTTCAATACGTTTACATAAACCTATTATGGCAGGAGAACAGAGGATAAGGAGGAAAGTGGTGCATTGAAAAGCAGGGTAGAGACCAAGCCATTTAGGGCCTTGTAAGCAAATATAAGGGACCCTTGATGGGTCAGTGGTAGAATTCTCACCTTCC